GAGAAACTCATTCTCAATTGTTTGCTCAAGTTTGTCGAGGAAAATAACATTCTCCTTCCGGAACAGTTTGGGTTCAGAAAGGGGCACTCCACCAATCACCAGCTAGTGCGGGTGATGAATAACATCCGAAGTAACAAAGCTGTATCCAAGTCCACAGCCATGGCATTGTTAGACGTTGAGAAAGCGTTTGATAATGTCTGGCACAATGGGCTTGTATACAAGCTTTGTAACTTCAACTTTCCATTACATCTGGTTAAAATCACCCGTAGCTACCTCCAGCAAAGGTCGTTTAAGGTATCGTTGAATGGTTGCCTTTCCGACACGTTTTCCATCCCAGCAGGAGTCCCGCAAGGCAGTCTGCTGGGACCCTTGCTTTACAGCATTTACACTTCCGACATTCCTCCCCTTGGAGACGGTTGCGTGTTTTTCCTGTTCGCAGATGATACCGCAATAGCCGTCAAAGGAAGGATGCCTCGCGAAATAACGAACAAACTTCAACGATGCCTTAACGCCTTTGCTGATTATGCCACCACGTGGAAAATCAAAATCAATGCTTCCAAAACACAAACAATCATGTTCCTCCATCGGCAATCACCCAAACTAAAACCGGCTCCCTCTTGTACTGTAATCATGGATGGCACAAGGGTTGAGTGGTCCGCCGAAGTAACCTATCTCGGGATGTTGTTTGACGAAAAGCTCCTATTCCGCTCGCATGTGGAGAAAACCGTAGTCAAGTGTTCCGCCTTGGTTAGGAGTCTGTATCCGCTGATTTGCCGCAGATCCCGCCTTTCAAGGGTGAACAAACTGGCCGTCTACAAACAAATCGTAGCACCTGCGATCCTCTACGCAGCTCCGGTGTGGGAATCATGTGCACAGACTCACAGGAACAAAATTCAGGTCGCTCAGAATAGAGTGCTGAGGATGGTTCTTGATCGTCCTTTCGACACTAGAATAACAAATTTACATGAAGAGGCAGGCATTGCCAAAATAGATTCCAAAATTAACGAAATTAAGACTAAATTTACACAAAAATGTAATTTATCAGAACATGCTTTGATAAGCAATTTGTATATAGTAGGTTAGGTGTACATAGTAGTTGTAGGTTAGTTGTAGTTGTAAATAGTAGTTATAAGTAGTCTCCCTTTTCCAATTCAAATCAAACCAATCCCACCAAGGTGGTCATACTTTAAAATAGGCCTGATAGGACTAGGAACTGTAAATAATAATTAAAATCTCAAATGTACCAAAGTTGAAAAGACGCATCTGTGTCACTTAACAAATTCATACATGTAAACCACACGATCACAAGAAATAAAGATCATTTAAATGGCAAAAAAAATGGCATAAGCTCATTTTCGCTTCGTGGTGAACAGCAATAGCAGCATTAGGAAGGTGGTGGCTAGTCCACTCCTTCACACCTAACAAGCAACAATTGACTGGTCGGTGTCAAACGTGTCTCCGGCCATCGATGTACAGCTTCGGAGGTTAAATCATCATCAACTTTGGCAACAAAACGGCTCATCAAGCTTACATCAGTAAAAAGTTGTGCTTGATTGTCCATATTCAGAACCACAAGCCCCCAACGACCACACAAAATGCTCTCCAGAGTTGTAATCTTGTAACCAAACTTGGAAGCAGGGGTGCAAGTGATTTTGATTGATTACACTAGTTTACAAAACAACATAAAAAGTGTGAACTTTAGTGGTTGACCAACGTTTCTAATGCAAAATCCTACGCTGAATTCAATGCCGTGGTCAGAAAAAATTAAAGTAGAGCCATTTTTGAGATATACAAAAATTTTGATTTTTTGAATTTTGGACAAAAGTACGATTACTAAAATGTCAATATCTTTGGAACTAGTGCACCAATTTTAAATCTTTTTTTACGAAAGTGAAGCTAAATAAATTTGCTATCGTTCACTACAAAATTGTCTTAATTAAAAATTTAATTTTGAAGTCATTTAAAAATTTACAGCATTTTTTTTTATTTTTCCTGCGAATTTTCCATAAAAATCTTGTTTTAATCAACATTTTTAATGGGATAAAAAGATTCAAAAAATCATTCCATAATTTATTCTTAAATTCCATTAAAAGCTGGAGAAAATGAGCCTTTAATGGATGAAATCGGTTGGAAATTGTCGAAGTTATGAAATTTTTTGTAAAATCATGGAAATTGACTGTTCCAAGATTGGCCGTTGTCCCGCTCCTTGGTTCATGCACCACTTCCAGTAAGCCTTTCTGCAGACGTGTACGCATACGGTGCATTTCACTAACACTACCAGCTGTCACGCAAAATTAAATGGGATATTTTCAACAATATAATTTACGCTAGTGTTTGTGAGACCGCTCGGCGAGAACCTAACGCAACCAACTCAATTTGACAGCTTTCTTTCTTTAACATTGCTTAACGATGTATACGACAAAACGTGAATTCAAGTGTAAAAATGATCCTCAAAAGTTTTGTTACGCGTGTGGCAACTATATATTTACAAAATCGGTCAATTTCACTGCTTCGTTGCAAACTGCATACAGGCTTTATTTTAAAATTGATCCTGGAGACTTTGACGAACCGTGGATTCCAAAAGTATTATGTAGTTCGTGCAAAACGTGCTTGGCTAGGTGGATGTCAGGCGCAAGGTAAATTGATTTTTTGAATAACTTTCATATAAACAATTTATGTACAGCATGGTAGTGCTTTGTTCTTTCCTGATCGACATTATCTTACTTCATCTATTTTTGATAAGTGTTAATGTCTTACTTACTAACTCACTTATTTGTTATCTGTCAGTCGCTATTTGTCCTTTGACATGCCCACCATATGGCGTCGACCGTTTTGTCATGCAACGGATTGTTATTTCTGCTTGACAAAAGTTAAGCAACAAGGACGTCACAAAATTTCGTCAAAGCGTTGCAAAAAGAAGGGCCGGCATTCCAGTACTTGAAATCAGTATTTCCAAATTTATCTGACGCAAAGATAAAGGAAGGTGTATTTGTTGGCCCACAGATCAAAAAACTGCTCAATGATTCCGCATTCAATACAGTTTTGACACCAGATGAGGAAGAAGCGTGGAAATCGTTCCAGCGTGTTGTCACAACCTTTTTAGGAAATTTCAGAAGCCCAGATTATGAGGAAGCCGTCGATGAATTGCTCAAAAATTATGAGAAAATAGGTATAAATAAAAAATATTGTGTTTGTTACATATAATTAATTTCAAATCCTTTTATTTCACTGAACACAGGTGTGAATATGTCTTTGAAGATACATACATTCTCACATGGATTTTTTCCCGGAAAATCTTGGTGACGAGAGTGATGAGCACGGCGAACGTTTTCACCAACAAATGAAGATGATGGAACGTCGTTACCAAGGGTTTTGGGATTAAGCAATGATGGGTGACTATTGTTGGTTTCTGATTCGAGAAACAAGTTCAAAACATCGAAGAAAAAGTCATTCGATTCTCAATCATTTTTAATTAATCCTAAATAAATTTCTTTTGTATCAACTCGGTTTTAAATCCTGATATGCCTTAATCAAATTGATATGTAGAGAAAAGAATCTCCCATGAAAACTTTACATGCGATTTGGATGCTTACAACGACACCTAGAAAAGGAACTCTAAAGCTGTTGTATTTCAGCAACATTTTTAAGTGTTTTACAAAAATGCTCATAACTTCGACAATTTCCAACCGATTTCATCCATTAAAGGCTCATTTTCTCCGGTTTTGAATGGACTTTAAGAATAAATTATGGAATGGTTTTTTGAATCTTTTTATCCCATTAAAAATGTTGATTAAAACAAGATTTTTATGGAAAATTCGCAGGAAAAATAAAAAAAAAATGCTGTAAATTTTTAAATGACTTCAAAATTAAATTTTTAATCAAGACATAATATTCTAGTGAACGATAGCAAATTTATTTAGCTTCATTTTTACAAAAAAAGATTTAAAATTGGTGCACTAGTTCCAAAGATATTGACATTTTAGTAATCGTACTTTTGTCCAAAATTCAAAAAATCAAAATTTTTGTATATTTCAAAAATGGCTCTACTTTAAGTTTTTCTGACCACGGCATTGAATTCAGCGTAGGATTTTGCATTGGAAATGATCATCACCTTACCGAGTTCAAAAATGCTGTAAACTAGTGTTATCTTAATCAACTTTCTCTTTGAAAAAAAATACTACAAATTTGGTACGCCTGCAATTCAAAAACGGAAAGAGTTGAGTTAATAGATAATTGATCAATTAAAAGAACTAAATGCTCTTTACATTTCTTCCGTCCACTAGCGGTCCTACTTCAAGCTTCCGTTCGTGCCCCTAGGCACAGACCCTTCTACTTTTTATGGAAGAATCGTGCGCCACTTATACGAATTGCTTCATCCGATGGACCAACTGCTGAAGAAAGAAACTAAATGGCGATGGACTTGCAAGTGTCAGAAGGCTTTCGACCGGTTAAAGGCAACACTTCAATCAAATTTATTCCCGACGCATTACGATCCCAAACTGCCTATCATCGTGGCAGCAGACGCATCAAACACTTGGATAGGTGCTCATTCATCAGTTTTCCTCTAAATTTACGAATAGAAACTCTCCAAAAATTTACCCACCCCAAAAGTATCAGTTTGCTCCAAGACAAACAAATGCAAATCAACCGTGTTAGAAAAAAAAATTAAATTGAAAACCCGGTTGCATCGTACCTACATTCTTAAAGAAATGTTCCGTTTTCAGCCATCCAGCTGTGAGTGTGTCCAATGTTTCCAGAATGCAGAACAACTAACAGACAAGCTGTTGCATCCCCGAAGCAACACCTTTTCAACCAGTTCTCCAGTCAGAAATGCACCTTCTTTGACATCAAAACTCAATTTACCTGTCGACACGACACACGTCCCGAAATTGTACATACTTCAACGAGCTGCATACTGTGAAGACACGGAACCCTACGAAGTTCGAAGCCAGCAGCAGCTGTGGAGCAGCAGAATAAGAAAGACCCATCCCCACACTCACCGAAAACGTTATGCTGAGATTCCATTTGCCGCTGGTCGGTGCCGTCGTTACAGGTCCCAGTCCGGCCAGCAGCACTCCGAGCACGGTAGCCACCGTCAGCGCGGTGGTCAACGTAAGACGACGGCAAACATGTGTGATTCTACTTCGGATGAAAAATGTGCAGCTCCTGAGGGGGAAACGGAAAAAAAAGTGGATCTTTTTCTAAGACAAGGTGCAGCTAAACAACGCTCGGGAAGAATCAGAATGATTTATGCAGAAATCCTGACCATCATCAATGTTGGACTGGGTGGTGAGCAATCGAGCGAGAAGGGTGAGGGGGTGAGGAGGGGAGGGGTACAATATTTGAATAACGAGATTTTAAGCACTTACCGGCGCTGCCGATGGAGAGGAAGATTTTCAAGACACGGGCCGGAGCAGGGTAGGTTCCGTGTCATGATTCGCTTCGTTCAGGCTCTCTAAGCTCGTTCTACGTACTCCAGAGAACCGGTATCTTCGTTGAGTGTCGAGTGTGGCGGACGGATGGATGCTTATTGAATTGGTTTTCTTTCGTCAGAGTGTTGACCGATGCCGTTAACAGCACGCTTCAAGAGTATGACCGGGTTGTTCTTGCTAAAATAAATATAATAAGCAAACAGAATCTGTCAGGCCCCTCTGTAGTGTCGCGGAATTTAGTAAGCGTTTTTATAGTGATCATTCGCGCTCAATTAGTAACGTCATGCTAGGATAAATACACGTTTGCAAATTGTGAAAATGGTTCTGCTGTATCAGTTGCTAACATTCTATGCAATTCTAGCTATATTTCGTTAATCCCTTATGGCATTTGAATTGACTTATACCGCATTTTATTTACTAATAGTTGAACAAACAGATACACAAAAAAAAAAATATTGAGCAGTTGTTCTAAAAAGTAGTTCTATCAGAGGTCATAGAAGTTTCAAATTAGAAAAAAAAACGAAATAGTAATGCTTTGAGTGACGGAAACAGAAGCCCCTGGAATTCCAAAATTTCAATGCAACAAAACGTCGTAATTTATGGAAACTTCAAAACCATGGTTTTTCACCAAACATGAATGAGCCAATAAGTCAAAGATTCTTTCTACATAGCACATCCCAGTGAAAAGAAATGATGGGTGACAAACACTTGACAAAAACCGGTAGTTTCGTCGTGTGATTCATTGACAGAGGAGACTACGGCATCGATGATCTGAACCAGCTGTTTGTCTGTCAACGCTCCGAGGTGATTGGAAGAACGCGGCAAAACGAAGTCACACAAACTCATCAACAACGCTTTGCGAATGTTTGATTTCAGTTTGGAAGTTCTGTTCAGATAAGCACCACAGATGATTGGTTGATGATCAACATCAACGCGCGAAATGGAATGAGTGGATTAATTTTTAGATTGGGACACGCGAGAAAGGTATAACTTAACCGAATTTATTAGTTCGTCATCCATAGAACCTTTTTGAGGTATTATTTTTGGTCAGGCTCATCAATCAAATTTAGGCTGCCAGTTATGCTACCGGAATTTGATATTAATTCGTTATTTTCTCGTCCTCGGGTTATGTTGAAATCGACTTAGTGGGTAAATAAAAATATCAAAAATGGAGACATCACTGCAGATTGCAAAACTCTCTTTCGATGTTTTCTTTTCATCACAGACAAACAGACGTAAATCTTTAAATATTTTTTCTTTAACTATATATGTTTATAATACTTCTGCGTGAAGCTAACGATTTTTCATAGTTGAAGATGTCAAGTTTCAAATCACAGACTTAAATTGGTTATTTTATACGATAGATGAGGAGATTAAAGTATAGAGTTGATAGTTCCGCTAGAGTACGGCAGTGGGAAAATTGTATATAGAGAGTAGAAAGTGAGCAAGGACAACTTTGAGGAAGGTACGATTCGGGATAATCATCTCTCTTTACCAAACTCCCCCGTTGGAGAGGGATGATGAGGGGTATTCCCCCTCCCCCCGCCTCCACTTTTTTATATATATCATCATGGATCTCACTAACGACATCTCGCGAGCTATTCGCGGTATAAAGCTTGCTTGTCAAGTCTCAAACAATGTTGCATACAAGTTCAATGGAATGTAAAGAAACCTCAAAGTGATCTGATGCCAGCACTGTGATGAATCCTGCGACTGTTTTTTGATGACAAATAATTAATCATTTAACCATGTTTATGGGTTAACTTCCCATCAGATGTCACTGCTGTTCTATCGATCGGAAATTACGCATACACTTAGTTCCGATGCGATCAAAACTAGCAATTGAAGCAGGCGGAACAACCAAACGTAAACAATACTTTAAATGCAAACTCATCAATAATCAATACACATCGAAGCAATCTAACACCACCATCTGATAGAGCAAACTTCCTTTATTGAATGGCATGATTAGTTTGCGTGGGAGTAGTTTGATTCTCGGGGAATTTGCGTTTAAAGCCATTGTTTACGTTTGGTTGTTCCGCCTATTTCAATTGTTGGTCTAGAAAATATGTATGGTACCTCTACACTATACGAAAATATCACCGAATGATTATTGCATTGCTCCAGCCCTTTAACAATATGCTTTCGAATTTCGGATGATTGCCTTAAGAATAGGATGACTTGCAAATGCTTTAAATTAGGATCACAATTCAATTGATTACGTTACAGCTAGGAACAGCCATTCCATGATGAATACAAATACCGTTTGTTGGTAGATGAAACTTGCTCCACCACGAAATAGACAGTCTTTGATTTCCACGCTATACCTATGTTCGTACCAGCTCTGATAGCGATTAGTATGTTTCCCCGTCGTATATAAGCTTAGATCAGCAAATGACGTTCGATAGAATAAAATCCAAGTCATGAGGGAATTCAAATAACTTCTGAAAGATCTTCAGAAAAATTCTGAAGGAAGTTCCGATGAAACTTTAGAGATGTTCCGAGTGAACTTCACGGAAACTTTGAACGACCCTCAGAGAAGTGTGGAGTACTCTTCAAGGAAGTTTTGGACGAATTTCAAAGAAGCTCTCAGGAAAGTTTCAAGTGAACTTCAGAGCAAACATCGCGCAAGTTTCAAACCTTCTTCAGGGCAGTTGCGAGCAAACTTCGGAAAAGTTCTGAGGGAACTTTAGAGATGTTCCGAGTGAACTGCAACGTAATTCTGAGCAAACTTCATGAAAGATGCGAGTGAACTTTTAGGAATTTCTGAACGAACCTCAGAAAAGTTCCAACCACTCTTCAAGGAAGTTTTGGACGAGCGTCAGAGAAGCTTTAAGCGAACTTCAGGGAAGTTTCAATTGAGCTTGAGATAAGTTCTGAAGTGAGAAGTTATGAGTGAGCTCCAGAAACTTCTATGAAGTTACTCGGAGCATCATTGAAGTTTCTTCGAATATGTTCCTATCAGAGACGTGTTGGGAACTCGCGATATCTGCTATATGCAGTCGGTTTATGTGTTTCTTCAAATGTCTAGTATAAGAATTTAATTCCTTTGTCTTTTGTCTCTCTTTAATAGTTTTTGTTTGTCTTGTCCCCTCGTCTCGATGAGTCTCATCGTCGCCCACTGGTCACCATAGCCGGTTGAATTCAGTTGAAACTAGAACCGCACTACCATTCATACTGGCAGCAACGCTCTGATGAGACAACGAAACCTTACCCCCAAGCTCCTCCCCTGATCCTATCCTTCGACGATATACCTCTTTAACCTCGAGTAAGTCGCGATTACTTGGCCCAACTCCTACTAGATATAGAATTAAGTGAGTTTTGTTACAAATAAAGAACAATGAACTATAGGCTCCGTAAAGCTAACGCGATTGAGCCTACCAAATATACGAACTAGTTAAAAAAAAGTTTCTTTGAAAATCATGTAATGTAATGTCCTCGATGTTCCTTCGAAACTTCTCTTGGGTTCAATCAAAACTTCACTAGAGAATTTCCATAAATTTCACTTGGAACTTCCCTTAAGATTGCTCAGGACGTCCATGAAGTTCTCTCGGAATATCCTTCATATTGCCGCAGAACTTCTCTGATCGCTTGAAACATCTTGCAAGTTCACTAAACAAATCCAACGAACTTCTCAGAACTTTTGTGAACTTCTCAGAAGTTCAATGAACTTGTCGGAAGCTCCGTGAGCTTTACGCACTTGTTGGAAATTCTGTAAGCTTCTTGTAAGTTTCGAAGACTTCTTGGATGTTTCATGAACTTCTTGGAAGTTCCGTAAAGTTTTTGGGAATTCTGTAAGCTTGTCCGAAGTTCAATTTTTTTTTTTTTTTTTCCTTTGGTTTGTTTTTTCCGTCGATCTTGTTTTCCGTACTGAGCACCAATGCTACCGACGTGCCAGGAAGGCAGCTCCCACACCTGGACCCTACCTATCGACCCATCAACTCATGAACCGGGGACCAACGGCTTTACTTCCCATCCGAAGGAAGGCGTGATCAGAGATATTATGCCTCAGAGCATCCCGGCGGCGCCGACTGGGATTGAACCCAGGCCTGTTGGGGTGAGAGGTAATCACGCTTACCACTACACCACCGGTGCCGTTTAGGTTTAATGAACTTGTCGGAATGTTCTGAACTTGTCAGACGTTCTGTGAATACTAAAGTTGCATCAAAACGTCCTTGAATATCAACTGTAATGTCCTAAATGTTCCTGCGGAAGTAATCTAGAGTTCACCCGAAACTTTTATGAATTTCACTTGGAACTTCCCTGAAGTTTACTCAGAACGTCCATGAAGGTCCCTCGTAAGATCCTTCTCTTAAATTTTCTCGGATCTTCCCTAAAGGTTCACTAGAAATTTCGACGAACTTCTCAGAACTGTCTTAAACATCTCAGAAGTTCCATGAACTTGTCGGAAGCTCCGTGAGCTCTGTACACTTCTTAGACTTGGATGTTCCATAAGCTTCTAGGATGCTTCGTTAAGTTCGTAGAAGATCCATAAATTTCTTGGAAGGTAAGTGAACTTTTTGAAAGCTCCGTTAACTTTTTGGAAGTTCCGAGAACTTTTTGGAAATTCTGTATGCTTGTCCAAAGTTCCGTGAACTTTTCAGAATATTTTGAACTTGTCGGATGTTCTGTTTCCTCAAAACATCCTTGAACATCACTTATAACGTCCTCGATGTTCCCTCGAAACTTCTCTAGAGTTCGCTCATAGCTTCTCCAAAGAACTTCTTTAAATTTCATTCGGAGCTTCTATGAATTTCACCTGGAGCTTCGCTGATGTTTGCTCAGAACTTCTTGGATCTTCCCTGAACACGAACATCTCTAAAGATCACTAAAAATGTCGACGAACTTCTCAGAACTTTCTTAAACATCTCAGAAGTTCCATGAACTTGTCGGAAGCTCCGTGAGCTCTGTACACTTCTTAGACTTGGATGTTCCGTAAACTTCTAGGATGTTTCGTAAAGTTCTTAGAACTTCCAGAAACTTCTTGGAAGTTGCATAAACTTCTTGGAAGTTCCGTAAACTTCTTGGAAGGTAAGTGAACTTTTTGAAAATTCCGTTAGCTTTTTGGGAGTTCCGAGAACTTTTTGGAAATTTTGTAGGCTTGTCCAAAGTTCCGTGAACATTTTAGAATATTCTGAACTTGTCGGATGTTCTGTTTCCTCAAAACATCCTTGAAC